GTGATTTAATTCTTTAATCCTTTCTGGATGTTCATTTTCTCTCTCTAGTACTGCGTATGCTACTCAGAAATATCGTCTAAGTCGAATTTCTCAGACATGATTTTGTTATGTATTTTGTAAACTAACTTGAGTTATCAATTAGAATGGAGTTTTAACGTGTCTAAACCATTCTTTGATACCCTATTTTTGAAATAAGATATATGGAGCTTGTCTCTTGAAATTCCTCCATTTGCTAGTATTATGACTGTAAACCGAGGAAGGGCTCACATCCCTCGCATAAACCTCGTTTCAACTAAAACACAAAAAGAAAAAAACAATACTGGGCAAAGAACAAAGAAAGGAGAAGAGGTTCAATTAAATTAAATATTTTTAAGCATTTTAAAACTTAAAAGTTTATATTTATGAAAAGGGCCAAATTCTAAGCTATTTGGTTATTTTTCTCCGAAAGTTTTCTCGTGCACCTCCTAAGTTAGGCGATGGTTACTCTAAACTCACGTTTATTGCGGGGAAGACTCCTACTAATACTCAACAAATGATAAAGTTTGTATCTATCACAAAGTTCAAATTACTTTCTATGCCAAATAGTGGATTTTTCTTCGCAATTTGGCACTAGTAAACTGTTTTTCACGTGACTTTGGAAAAGAAAGACTCTGTTAATTAGTGGGGGGTCTCTATCGATCAACCATAGAAAATGAGAAAACTTAGTAGAGTTTCCTAACCTAATCAAGCTCCCTTTTCGTTGGTGTTATCTGTCTATAATAATGTATGTGGCTAACTTCTATATTAATTGCTTTGGCAAATCAAGATAAGGTTCCAGCAGTTATAATCCAGTAAAAGTGGACTTCTATGAAAAACTTTCCCAAAAGAAGGTTAGCCATGTTCTTTTTATATTTATATGACCAGAAATACTTTATTAACGTGCAAGTTAATAACACTACAAGGGTAAATTTTACTTCCCTTTTTTGCCTACCCGTTTCCTCTTTAGAGCGTGTTTTGAACTTTTGTACGGAGGAAGTTATCCCTTCTTTATTTACCAACATTTTTTATTTTATAAAAATACTGGTGTTTGGTTTGATGAATGGAAAATTTTCGAAATAATATGTCACAAAGATTAATGTAACAATATTAGCAAATCGAAAGTGCTTTGATGAGATTTTTGAGTAGTTATGATTAGTACTAATGTCTGTGTCTTAGCTCGTTAAGAAGTTAACAGTAGGGGTGTACATGGACCGGGTTGGTTTGATTTTTATCACAACCCAACTATATCGGTTTGGATTGGTTAGGTTTTGCCGGGTTTTTCGGATTTTTTCGTTACATAAATATTATTTCAATCTTACTTTGTTAAATTTTTGATAAGTAAATATATGTTTAGTAAAAATTGAAAAAAATTATCAAACGTGTTGTTGGGTTTTGGATGTATTTAATTAATATATTAAATACTTAAAAGAGGGTGAATGGGAAATGGAGGGAAATGAAATTTTTGAGTGAAATTTTAAGTTCTTCCCCCCCCCCCCCCCTGGCAAATGGGCATTGTCCCATATTGGAAGAGGAAGAGGTTTTTTATGGGTATATAAGCAATTGCTCTTCTTCTAACTCTTAAAGAGTTGAGAAGAAGGCAAGTTTCGCGCCGTCGTCGTCGTCGCTCGCTCGGCTACGGCTTCGGCTTCGGCTTCGGCTTCGGCTTCGGCTTCGGATTTGGATTTGGATTTGAATTTGGTCAAATGATCGATTGATTGATTAACTTTTTGGACCAAATTTATTTGTTAATAGTAAAATATTAACAGAAGTGTTGTTAAATATTTGTTTTAATAACAAAATATTAATATTAAATCCAATCCGTTTTTCTGTTTTGGTAACAGAAAAGTAACTACCCTCTTCAATTTTCCCTCTTTATTGTTGAGTAAATGGCCATTTATGTAATGACATTTATGCTGTGGGCGTTTTGCATAAACAGCCATTCTGAAGAGTTGCACCTCTTCAGATTTCAGCCCAACTTTGGCTATAAATACAACACTATTCTGCTTAGAATTTCACTACGATTTTCTGAGTTTCTTCTCCTTCTTCTGCATACTTTTAGCATCAAACAAAGCAAAAAGTAAGTGTGATTTGCTACCGAATTTTGTGTTCGCTGAAACGCTGGGGTTTGAAGTACCACTACACCAGTGTGTAATTCGTTCTATCCTGGGAGGAAATAATCCATAACCTTGGGTACTAGGAGGGGATTAAATTCCTTAAGGAAACACTGTGAATTCAGTGGGCTCGAATTGGTTTTATGTCATTTCTGTTTATGTTCATTTCTGTTTATATTCATTTATATTTCCAGAATTATTTTACAAATACAATATACTAACACGTGTGATCTATTAACATATTTTTATGGGTGAATTTTCTTAGTAACATATGATAGTTAATTTTTTAGTCATCGGAATTCTGACAATATATAGTTTTTCAATAACGTACACTTTCAAGGTTAACTGAATTTAATAATTAAACATAAAATCAATTTGATACCTATATAATAATATGTTGTTTAATTTTAAATTATCGAAATACTGCTTCAAATTCGACAAAGATATAAGAATGTAATAGATCTTGACATATGAATATGGAAGAACAAAGTGATTGACGCATTTCATTAACACTTGATAAGAAAGTGATCATACAGCCCAATTTAAAGTTAATAAAGATAGAACACTTCATATTTTACTAAATAATACATCCCATAGAGAATCTTAAATATTTCTAGACATTTTTAAAGAAAATTTTATGAAAAAGTCGTAAAAATATATATAAAAATTATATATTTATATGTCGATGGTTCGATTTTCTTTACTCAATACCAAACCAAATCAAACTAAACTTAGTCGGGTTTCTTAATCGGTTTGATTTGACTTTTCGTTTTGGTGCGATTTTCCGATTCGGTTTGTACACCTCTAGTTACAACATATATAAGGTAAATGTCCTCTACCAATAAGCTTCTCTCTTTTGATTGAGATTTATGTTATTACAAAATATTTTCTAGTAACAGAACACCAAAAATCCAAAAAAAATGATTTTCGTCGTACCAAACACCATCATTTGTAGTACGTGTACATTTGAATACTGGAAATGTAGCATCAGAGACATCTAAGTTCAACGTCCTCCAACTTCTCATTAATGATATTAAAATTACGCACGTTAATTTATGTCGTACAGAGAATTAGATGATGGTGTGCCCAACGTTGATTCCTTATTATTTTATCCTCTAACTAGGGGTCTACAAACCGACATACCGCACCAAATTGATAATCCGAGTCAAATCGAGAAAAAAAATCGGACTATGGTTTGGTTTGTTAAGACTTGACAGGTCCTTTTGGTCGATTTCCAGTTGATTGCCTCAACCTATCGATTGAGTGAGTTGGAGAAGAAAGTCTTAGAAGGCTATGACTCTATAAGTTTCGCGTGTTATTTCTTTGCGTGTCTACTATTTATTTAGGTGCAAAGAGCCTAAGCGGTCAAGCTATTATATTCCGAGCCTGCTCTCCATTTCCACCGTTGATGCAATAGAAGCTCTTAATGCAATATCTGGTGGTGAAGACATTCCCGCTGCTACAATTGGAGTTGACGGTCCTAGTTCTGTTACAGTAAGAGCTGTTGCTGGAGTAACCAGTGCTAGTTACTTGACTGTTGGGGGAGAAACCACTGTTAGAAATGTTCAAGTAGAAGCTCCTCTTTCATCTGCAGGTATAGTTTTGTTTTGGTGTTAGAAAAAAACCATAATCGGTTTTGTTTGGTTTTAACTAGAAAAAGTCAAACCGAAACCAAATCAACTCGACATTACATGTATACAAGTTTTAAAAATATTTTAGACATAAAAATAATAATTGTAATATAATTTATAAATATTGTTTGAATTTTTTCATAGTTCTATTTTTAATGTATTATTTCAAGCTTGGACTTATAATTTCTGAATGATCAAATACGTTTTATAGCCCATAAAGTTAGCAACTCAAATAAAACCCAAAGCAAAAATAAATCAATATTAATGCTAACAAAAAAATTCAATTCAATACTAGGAATGACAATAGTATTGGATATTTATTTTTTTAGTTTAGCATTAATTTAGATAGTGAAAACGCATAATTTACTTTAATATTATTTAGTTATGTAATTTATACTTAGTACTTATTAGTCGTACTTTAGCATGACTTAGTATTTTTAGATTATGTTTATTTTTATTATGGCTTATTAATTAACAATATTTATTTTATGTGATTTGTTGAGTATTTTAGCATAATAATGACCCATTTCACATTATTTTGTATTATTTTATTGGGTAACATCTTATATAGTTTTATCCTACTAGTACCTAACAAATATTAGAGCACAAATTATATATTTTATGCTATGAAGATGTTGTCGGAAAAAAATTCGAGATTGAGAACCCCGACTTTTGTTGGTTTGGTTTGGTTTATAGATTTAAAAATTCGAGACAATTGGTTTAATTTGGTATTTAAAAAACCGGAACCAACCCAGCCTATGTATACCTACTCCTAACAATAATTTATCCATGCGCTAGAAAAAGCCAGTTCAAGTTGAAAACTATTACTCCTGGCTACCATTAGAAGTATTTAGACAATATTCAAATTAATAATACTAAAGCATTTCTAAAATAAGGTGAGTAATCATGAATGCTTTCCAAAATATAACCTAAAAAGTATAATCCGTACACAGCTTCTTAATTACTTGGTTGAAATTAGAAAATTTTACCGTGAAGGGATGTTTTTCTTCCGCATGTGTTTAGTTTCACTTTTTTCCATTTTGCCATAATCTTATCTGGTTCTTCCCCTATACATCCTTAGCTTATCTCACTTTGAACTTTATCTTAGCATTTACGTGCGTTTGGTCCTAACAACAGTTAATCTACCATTACGTTATTGATGTTATATATATATATATATATATATATATATATATATATATATATATATATATATGTATGCACAACCGATGAACTGAAATCTAGCATTACGGTATATTGTATTTCAGGAAGATTTCACATAATTACTCAAAGACTTTTAAGTCAATATCCCTTCACCTAAATAGTTAAGCACATAGGCTATGGAGGGACTCACCCGCAAGAACAAAAACCACCCGAGTACGGCGTGTTATGGAGAAAGAATTACAGTGTTGAGCATTGATGGAGGAGGAGTTAGGGGAATCATTCCAGGAACCATATTAAGTTTTCTTGAATCAAAGTTACAAGTACGACTTGCAGTGATCGTTTTATATCTTTTATGTTCCTAGCTAGTTGATATTGCATCAAATGCATGGTTTCTATAGTGTTAAAATTCTTTACTCTGTCATCAGTATATATATATATATATATATATATATATATATATATATATATATATATATATATATATATATATATATATATATATATATNATATATATAATAGGTTAATTCCACTAAATAAATTAAAGTAGCTTTGCATATTGCAGGAGTTGGACGGACCAGAAGCTCGACTTGCAGATTACTTCGATACGATAGCAGGGACTAGTACGGGAGGCCTAATGGCGACCATGTTAACGGCACCGGACCAACATGGCCGTCCTCTTTATGCTGCAAAGGATCTTGTTCCATTTTATCTTGAACACAGTCCCAAGATCTTCCCCCAGCGCAAGTATAGTTTTTTACCTCATTACATGGTTCTCTTCAACTTTTAATTATGTATACACGTTACGAATTGTTATTTTACAGTGAAGTACTATCGCTACTAATGATGCTGTGTGGTCCAAAATATGACGGCAAGTATCTAAGGAATCTGATCCGAGGGATCTGTGGGAACCGAACATTCCATCAAACTATAACACATTTGCTTATTCCCACTTATGACATCAAGACACTTCAGCCCCAAGTTTTCTCTACATATGAGGTTGTATTCATTTCATTACAGTTCAATAGTACTCCTCTCTTGATCTTTTTTCCTCTATTTCTGTAATGAAATATGGTTTTTAAAATTATTTGATCAGGCAGAGTTGGATCCTGGAATGGATGTTTTACTATCAGATATCTGCATCAGTACTTCGTCAGCTCCAGTTTATTTTCCTGCTTACTTCTTCAAAACAAAAGATTGTGATGGAAATGATAGAGAATTTAACCTTATCGACGGAGGCATTGCGACCAATAACCCTGTAAGTGCACAAAACATACAACTATACTTTGGGCATGTCATAGAAAATAATAGTAGTTACGTTACTAGTAGTACATTTTAATTTCTTCTGACCGAAGATATATTATATATTATGAATGACCTGATTCTGTATATGCTTTATTCACATCATCGGTGCATATAACTTAAACTCTGTCTCAATTGGTTAATTAAACAGGCACTGCTAGCGATGAGGCCAACTGGAGCCAATGCAAAACTACTGCCAGCAAATGTCCTGGATTATGGCAAGTATCTAGTTCTATCTGTAGGAACAGGTACATCGAAGTCACAAAGGAAGTACAGTGCAATCAGAGCAGCTAAATGGGGACTCATTAGTTGGCTTTGTAAAGATGGAAACTGCCCTTTGGTGGATGCGTTTACTTTTGCCAACGCTGATATGGCTGACCTTCATTTGTCCTTGCTTTTTAGCACTGCTGGCCATATTAAAAATTACCTTCGTATTCAGGTCCTTTTCTCCATTTTCCCTTGCATACACATAAATTACTCCAATTTTTCCGTCAAATTAAACTGCCTTTTTTCACCATTTTATATTTGGTTGCATATAGTTATTGTTAGGCTAAACTAGCCCAAATACACTCTTAATATGGTGTGATATTATCCGCTTTGGTTGAAGTCTGTACGGCTTTCCTCAAAAGGCCTCACACCATTAAGAGATTCCTATACCTTATATGTAGGCTCCTAATCTTTTCAGCTACCAATGTGAGACTTTGTTCGCACACCCAACAATCTCTCCCTCGAACTAAGTTCCACGTGGCTCGCTACCATGATTCACGGGTCTCCCCCTTTGAACTAAGTTCTATGTGACCCATTGCCACAATCCACGGGTCAATTTTCGAAATTCACTGTGTGCCATCCATTTTGTTAGAGTATCATGGCAACCGAACCCCGCAACTAGCTTCTTCTTGTGTGCGCACTGCCCCGTACCATCACTTTGCCATCTCCATACTCGTATCACCGAATTTGGGTTCTGATACCAGTTGTTGGGCTAAACTAGCCCAAATTAACATGGTGTGATCGATATTGTCCGCTTTGGGTTAAACCCGCACGATTTTCCTCAAAATACCTCACATCATTAAGTGATCCCTACACCTAATTATATATAGGCTCCCGATCTTTTCAGCTACCAATATAATACTTTGTTCGCACACCAACAATTCTCATCTATAGTGCAAATATTTTTTAACACGATTAACGTATAGAAGTTAAACTCTTTTATTTTTGGCAGGATGATAATTTAAGCGGAGAAGCATCATCAACTGATAAAGCAACGAAGGAGTGTATGGAGGAGCTAGTGAAGATTGGTAAAGACATCTTGCAGAAGCCTATTTCAAGGATGAATCTCGAAAGCTGCAAAAATGAAGCTGTTGAAAATGAAGGAACAAATGAACAAGCTCTTATCAGGTCTCTTATTAATTCACAATCCAAAAACCTTGAAACAATTAATGAGTATATCAACTTCAAATATTTATAAATAATAACTTTCAGAATATTTAACTAATCAATTGTGTTGGATTCAATTTTATGATTTCTTAACAGATTTGCAAAGGTGCTTTCAGAGGAGAAGAGACTTCGCACTAAAAGGATGAAGGAGAAGGTGGACTTTTCTAATGGAGATGCATGAACAAGTATAGAATAAGCAAATATAAATTGTCGTCCTTCTAAGAGATGATTAATTTCTCGTTTAATGTATAACTAGTATTAGTACCGTGCAGATGCGCGGACACTAATCATGTCAAATATTTAAGTTGTTTGGATTGTATTTAAATTGTTTGACCAAAAGTTATCGAGATCTTTCTGGTTAAATCAATTAGAAAAGGTGAAGAGGTAAATCTCAGCTAAGAATAATGAAATCTAGATGGAAAGATATTGAGGATGAACACAATGGATAATGTTTCTTAATACCACGAAATTAAACGAGTAAGCATCGATATGGTAACTTTGAATATAGGAAGATATTGTAAGGACTATTCTTCTTTTACCACCAAATATTCCAGAGAGAAAAGGCTCCCCATTACTGAGCCTTCCCCTTATATTTATAAGGGACAATCCCCTCCTGAACCCTAAAAGGTATAACAAAAAATAATATTCCAAAGTATATTCTGACGGGCTCGTGCTGCCCCTACATTACTACCAATGTCGTACGTTCTCCAGCCGCTACCAGTCATCGCCTTCCTCAACAACCAAAGGATGCCGTGTCGTGAGGGTCCCGTCCCTCGTTAGTGGTCGCGGTCGTCCAAATTTTGACCCATACAGTTAATCCCTCCGCTTATCGAGGTTGCAGCTTAACGCAACCTCGATAGGCGGACATTGCCCACATCTGCGGAAAAATTTGCCCTATGAATCGTAATGGTTTGACCAACAACGGAAGGTTAGCGTGCTCAACGATATCCCGGGCGGTATGTCATGTCAGGAAATGACATCACTTCTTCGTGCGTCATCATTATGCGTATTTTCAAGGCAGGGGCTGACGGTTTGTCGCTTCGATTTTGGTGCCATCTTGCAGCCTTATGCTTTGATTCCGGCGCCACCCAATCCTATAAATAGGTGGAAGGTTTGTTTTTTCAAAAACTCTTGGCCATTTCTTCGTTGGTTATTCCTTACCTTCTCTCCCGCTTTTGCTCTAGCAATCCTCTTGGCTTTCTCTCCGTTTGCCGTTCTTGTCTTTTCCTGTTCTGTCAACATCTTTACTGCCATAGATATGCCTAAACCACATCGGTCTCGTGAGGAGGTTTCTGACGCTACCCCGTTGTCCGTGGCGCCCCCTACTGGCGATGAATACGTGACGGTGGAGGAGGGGGATAGCTTTCCTACCGTGGAAGAGTTGCTACCGAGGCACCCCATGTCTCGAAGCGACTTTCTTAAAGAGCCTCCTCCCACTCCCGCTCCGGCGATATCCGAAACTGAGCAGGCCCATATCAATGCCCTTCGTGCCAAATACAGCATCGCCTCTCATATTGAAATGATTCCTGCGGGAGGGGATTTCATGGACGTTCACAGACCGGGGTACTGTGCTTTTTACCAGTACCCTTTCATAATTGGTTATTCCTTCCCCTCGATTCCGTTGGCAGAAGAATTCTGTCGGTTCTATCAGATTTGCCCGGTGCAGCTTTCCCCGTATACGTATAAGATACTTTGGTGCTGACAAAGTACGCGGAGCTGGCAGGGTACGAAGTTACCGTTCACCACCTCCTACGTTTGTTTTCTCCTAGCTTTCACAGGGGCACAATGGTGCACTTAAGACATCGTGGGACAAAGGGATTGGTGGTCGGAACTAACGACCGGGCCAGTCGTAAATTCTGGCACAAGTACTTCTTTGTCAGAACTAAACACATTGTATCTGACCCCGCCAAATTTTCGGAATGGTGGAATGAGAATCGTAGGTTTTGCAACTTATTTATTCTTTCCCCCCTTTTTTTAATACAACTTAGCGTTTACTTACTGCTCTTTTTTGCAGCCATGGGGTGTCCATCCCGTCCCATTGCTGGTATAAGGGACTGGGTGGCCCGTTTGTTGCTTCAAGCAGTGGAGACTCGAGAATGGCCAGCTTTTGTCAAATGCTACGGGCCGACAGTTTCATCTGGTGAGTGTCTTTCTCTGTGCCGTTTTTTCACCGTTCGTTGTCATCTACTTAATATGACTCTCCATGATGGCAGGTCGTGGTGCTTCTAGGCGTAAGGCCCCTGTCCCTGCATTTTGACAGGCTGTCGCTGCTGCCGGAATGCAATTTACTCTGAGTGAGTCTGTTCGAGAGGGACGTGCTCAACCGATACAGGTGGGGGATTCTTCTCGCGACATGGTCATGAGGGAAGAGGCCTCTTCCTTACCGATCCATCACCTTGTTGACGAGTCCTCTAACGGGGACAAATCGTTGCTGAGGAAAAAGAGGAGGGTGGAGCTTGGGAAGGGCGTGGCCGTTGATACTGATAAGAGTAGGACGGGTGCATCGCAGACGTCACCTGTGCCCACGTTTATGGCCGACGCCATCTTGGCGGGGAGGTCTCCCCAAACAGAAGGGGTTTACCTAGGAGGTGGTTCCGTGCGCTCCGCTGAGGGCGGCGCGTCGTCTAACATTAGAGGGGGCCTGCGCGTCGAGGGTGAATGCTCGGGCTCGGACGTCGACTCGGGGGAGGTTCGTGAATTTTTTGAACGTCACACTCACATAGAGGTCAGAGTGGAGGGTTCTGATCGGCACATAGTTGTCCCTAGGGACTACAACTTGTTGTCGAACTGTCATCAGATGGCTTCCGCTTTGGTCCCTTTATGTGCTGCCCCTGAGAATGAGGCGCTTAGAGCGATGAGCGATATGGAGTTGTCTCGGAGCGTCTCCGGCATGGCCTTGCGGGTAGATATTTTTCCCTTCCTTTTTTTTGTTGGGTTTGTGTTATTATTTTTGGCATGTTCTTTTGTTTTAACTTTACTTGTTGTGCCAGACCTTTATCATGGAGATCGAGTGCGAGCGACGGGAAAGTAGGAGGACGGCCATCTATGGAAATATATCTTCTAAATATCAAAAATATCATACCAAGCATCGTACGATGGCCGACATGTACAATCAGGATCCTGACTTCCAACTATTCCGCGAAGGTCTTAAATAGAGGGAGGATCGTTGGCGCGTAAGGTCGAGGAGTTGAGGAGCGAGGCGAGGACCTTATGAAGGCCGTCGCCTGTAATAGTGAGCTCGAGGCATCCCTTAAAGTGAAGGACGATGAGCTTGAGCTGAGTCGGGGGGTAATGGCCGAGAACGCCGACCTACAAGCAAAGGTGGCGGCTTTAACTGCCGAGCTGAATACGAAGACGGTGGAGATTAATGAGCTTAAGGGTGAACCGAGCATGAATGCCGATAGATTGGCGACCGTTATTTCTGAGGTGGCGGTTTTTGTAGATGCCCTCTGTGTTTGTAGGTTGGAGCTGACCAAGGAGAAGGAGGCATCCGCACTTAAGATAGCGGGGCTTGAGGGGCATGTTCGGGAGTTGGAGGCGAAGCTATCCTCGTTAAATGAACAAATGGCATCACTGAGAACGGAGGACGTACGTTGACAATCTCAACCTTCTACATCTCGTGCTTCGGCCGATCCTGTCGTGCCTCGTCGTTTGTATGAGTTGTGGGTTCACACTGAGGCTAAGTTTGATGTGTACAAGGCTCTTCATGCTGACGGGAGGGCGTCTGAAGTAGAGCTTCAGGATGTGCGTGCTAAAGCCCATGCAGCTCGTGAGGCATGCGGATACGACCCTCTTACGCCCGACGGGGATGATATCAACTCTGATGATGCGAACCGTCTTGCCTCTGACTCTTGGTACGAAGGTGTGTACGCCCCCGGAAACGATGTGTAGTTTTTGGTTTGTACTTACTTTTGCTTCGTGATTTTTGTAAGGGCGTCTTCGAGCCATTTGTAAAGACAGGTGCTTGTAATATTTTTGTCGTAATGAAAAATTGTTTTGTCGATTTGGTGGAAATCTTTTGCTGCATTTATGATATTCCGGGTCTTTGTCGAAATATTAAGCTCATTTTGCTTCGAGTGAGGTCGAACCCTTTACTTCGACGATGGCCTTAGCCATTGGGATGTTACTTTCGATCCGGTGTCGAAGTAGTCCCGTCGTGGTTTGAGCGATGTCGAACCCTTCACTTTGGTGATGGCCTTAGCCATTGGGATGTTACTTTCGAGCTGGTGTCGAAGTAGTATCCCGTCGTGGTTCGAGCGATGTCGAACCCTTCACTTTGGTGATGGCCTTAGCCATTGGGATGTTACTTTCGAGCTGGTGTCGAAGTAGTATCCCGTCGTCGTTCGAGCAATGTCGAACCCTTCACTTTGGTGATGGCCTTAGCCATTGGGATGTTACTTTCGAGCTGGTGTCGAAATAGTATCCCGTCGTGGTTCGAGCGATGTCAAACCCTTCACTTTGGTGATGGCCTTAGCCATTGTGATGTTACTTTCGAGTTGGCGTCGAAGTAGTATCCTGTCGTGGTTCGAGCGATGTCGAACCCTTTACTTCGATGATGGCCTTAGCCATTGCATCTAATGGACTATCGCGTATGTCGATTTTATTCATGCACTGGAGATTCGATTATGTTCCTGTCGGAAATATATGTTGACTTCGTTCATACAATGGAGATTTGATTATATTCCTGTCGGAAATACATGTTGACTTCGTACATACAATGGAGATTTGATTTATTCCTGTCAGAAATACATGTTTACTTCGTATATACAATGGAGATTTGATCATCTATACCTAGTCCCTTCATTGCTCGGCCTGGAGATGACGTCGGTAGGCGGGGCAATGAACAAAACTTCGGGCCTTGAGACGTCCCCCTTGCCGCCTCATTAAAAACCTCATCGAGAAAACCCGATTGGGACAAAATCCGGGTGAGGGAAAAAGAGTACGGCGTAGGCGACGCCTCTCTTCAGAAGTGGAAGTATTTAAAATGGGCGACATTCCAGTTATTTTGGAGTAGTTTTTCTTCCATTGTCTCTCATTGGAATGCTCTTTTGTTTGCTGCTGCCGTGATTTTGTATGGCCCGTCCCAGTTTGTTCCCAGTTTTCCCTCATTTGGGTCTTTTGCTGCTTGTGTTTTAAATTTGAGAACATAGTCCCCGACTTTGAGTGGTCGTACTTTGGCTTTCTTGTTATAGTATCTTTCTACTCGTTGCCTTTGGGCTATCATTCTTATGTGAGCCATATCTCTTCTCTTCAACTTCATCCAGGTCTTGTAATCTGCTTTCGTTGTTACTTAATCCGTTCTCGTTGGAATATCTCAGGCTAGGTTCTCCGACTTCGACGGGTATAATGGCGTCAGTCCCGTA